TTTTATTTTAATTAAAATAAATTTTATCAAAAAAAAAATTTTAATGTATTTTTTTTTGTAAATGTAAATATTTTTTTGTTATATTTGTTTAATTTTATAGATCTAAATCATTTTTGGTTCAAAAAATGTTTAAGAACTTAATCGTCCAAAATATGAATGTTCATTGGATTTTTTCGAAACTTTTTTAACTATTTTACCACATTAACTAGTTGTACAAGTCATAAGAATGTATCCAACAGGTTTTTGAAAAGTTCAAAAAGTTATTTAACATGTTTTGGATTGTCCAACGACTTATTTGTTCCAAAAAATTGTCCAATAAGTTATTTAACATGTTTTAAATTGTCTAAGGAGTTATTTAACATGTTTTGGAWTGTCCAAGAACTTATTTGTTCCAAAAAATTGTCCAATGAGTTATTTAACATGTTTTAAAATGTCTAATGACTTATTTATTCCAAAAAATTGTCCAATCATTTCAAACACTAAAGTCCATTGAATTTTTTAAGATTTTTTCCTAAATTAAATACATTGATAGTTAATATCAGTTGACGGGGTCCCCATGATGTGGGTGGATGCATCTTAACCGTTGAATTTTAGTCACACGTCAAATCCCCCTTTTTCTTTCTTTCTTTATTTATTAAAATAACAAAATAAAACGATGCTATTTTCTTAAAAAGAAAAATTGATGAACCGAGTATAAGGTTCGTTTAATACATTTTTTTAAGTATTTTCAATAGTTATGTTATATTTTATTTAAAACAAAGTTGCATTCAAATTTAATAGCTACTTTATGTAGCAATAATAACGTTAAATTGTATGAAAAAATTAACGTATTTTAACTTGATTCTTATTTTAGGTAACGTACTTTTAAAACTTTCATTTTGGTATTTTAGATATAAAGTCTTAAAAATTTAAGTACCTGAGTAACCGGTTGAACACTAATTTTAGATTAAAAAATTTCATGTCACTAACCATATCAACAAATAATACTGAGTTGTATACCACATCACTGGCCACATCAACGTGATAACCGGTTGATGCTTCGACCGGTTACCAGAGATCAACCGGTTATCACGGTACTTAAATGTTTTAAAATTTTATATCTTATATACCAAAATGCATGTTTTGAAAGTACGTTACCCTAATAGGAATCAAGTTAAAATACGTTACTTTTTCATGCAATTTGTCATAACTATATTAATAAAAATATTCAATACATTTAATAAAACATTATTTATCTCTTTTAAACATTTATTTTCAAATACCTTTTATTGGTGGAAAAATATTAAAATAATAATTTCTCTCTCTATTTTGAGATTTTTTACACTTTCTCATCTTTTCTTTATTTTAGCATAGCTATTGGAGCAAAATAATTGCTAAAATTCATTCCCCACCTCCCTTCTGTTTTAACATAGTTGTTGGAGATGTTCTTACTGCGTAAGCTTTTAGTGACAAGAGTCATCACCGTAGCTTATCCTCTTGGGTAACACTTTTTGTCATTAAAATGTATTGTTGGTAAGCACTTTATATCTAATAAGTGATGACCGGGTAAGATTGTCAATCATTGCTATGTCTTTTATCGGGTAAGATTATTTATTTTTATCATGCTCATGCGATAAAGTAAACAACTCTTGATAAATGCTTCCCTGATAAGAATTTAATAAACGAACCATTATTCTATGTTATATAATTTTGAATCGATTAAAAATACGAGAAATTGATATCATCTATAATAGAAATTAAGACCATTTGATAAATAAAGAAACGATACAAGTTTAACTAAATATGTTTTTAGTACTGGATTGACTTTGAATATGTGTTTTATGTGATAAAAATTAATAAATACTTTTAAAAAATACAATCCAGTATAAAAAAAAATCAGATCGGTTTTATACATATAAAAAAAAGAAGTTTAATGGTTAATGCTTCAATCCGTTACCCACGTACTTAAATGTTTGAAATTTTATATCTTAGGTACCAAAATGAAAGTTTTAAAAAGTACATTACCCAAAATAAGAATCAAGTTAAAGCACGTTACTTTTTCATATAATTTGTTCTTAACAGAAAGACGGGTATTTCCTGCTCTCTGCAAATTATAACAGTTCCGGTTTAATACATGTTTCAAAATATGAAAGAAAAAAAACAATCATTATTTATGCAATATGTGGTTTGTATTATAAAATGTAAAACATCTAAGTGTTTGTTAATTTGGCTCCTCGTTAGAGGATTTGGCCAAAACCATTTGAAGTTTAAACACAACCCAAAAGTTGCACAAAAATTGGTTGGTGTAATTGGTGAACAAAACACATAACATATTTTATTTGAGTAACCGTGGGTTCCGCGTCATTTTATGCATATCGTCTGATTTTTTGGACGATCATGAATGGTTTGGAGTCATCGTAGGTGAACATTCATGGTCGCAAGGGTCTTGACAGCGACTGGATTCGAACTCGAGTAAATGATATATTCCATTACACCCCCCTGAGACTTAATCAATGTTCCACAATTCAAATAACGGTTTTTTGTTTTGATTTTTATTTTATGTAATATATTTTTATTTTTAATTGAATGTATTATGTCATTAATTTAATTAATTAATAAAAAATGTACTATGTTTTATTGCAATAAAAATAATATGTATTGTAAAAGTTGGTATCAAGTACAGTTAGTTAATACACGGTATATGATTTTTTTTTATTAACCTGAATATCCAACCTGCTATGCGAGCCGACTAATCCCAAGAAAACCACATGTTTTGTGGGTAGCCTGGAATCACCGCATTTGAACCTTCATTACCACAAGAGGTTTTTTATTCCTCTTTGGATTTAAACATGAGACCTTCATGCACTTTTGACATTTGAAGCTTAAACTCAAACCAATCAAACACCACCCTTAGGTTGGTAAATGGTGGTACTGGTTTCATACCAACTTCAAATGACATATATGAAAACTTGTCATTATGTCCAAATTGTAAGTGACTATGTGATTTTCCAGGTAACACTGGTGATGTTTAAGAGTTTTTAATTGCAACGACTAAAATTTGCAATCATTTCAATTTTTAAACAAAATAATTAAAGTTATAAAGTTTGATATTCAATATAATAAAAATACAAAAACTAAAAAATAATTAAATAAGTCAGTATCATAATATCACTATGGATCATGGTACACAGCTTTCGATTTATTATATTAACCGATTTTACATATTATGATATTACCAACCAACTGTAATTTATTTCTGATATTGAACAAGGGGATTAAATCCGTAATTTGCTCATATTTATAAAACCTAAACGAAAAAGTTATAATAATAAACTCCTACCAAATTGGACCCACGCGTTTTGGAATCTTGACTGACGTATACCTCCATGGGTCCCGCAAGAACTACTTTTAATTTATCTTCTTTTATTTACATTAAAATATCATTATAAATTCAAATTTATTTAATTTATATTTTTTTTTAAATTATCATCGCAATTATATTTATATGGAAGCTTGATGATCCAAAGAACTCAATATATTATAACATTTATGAGAATTTTTATTTTAAAATATTATTTTACATGAATTATTCTCATTTAAAATTAGTATTTAATATATTAATGAATATATATTTGTTTCACAACATGTTTGATATATATGTATTTGATTTAAAATATGAAACTTTTTTACTTGTTATTTTTGTTTCATAAAAATGCTAAAAAGGTTTATATTGTAAAACAGATATATATATATATATATATACTAATAAATATTCTAAATTATAATTTAAATAAAAAAATATAATATAAAATAACATATGATGCATTAATTCTCAAAATTATTATAATTCGATGGGTTCTTAAAAAAAATTCTTATATTTAGGGGATGTTTGGGATTGCTTATAAAAACAACTTATTGACTTATTCCGGTTTGGCACCGGTAATAAGCAATTTTCAGTGTTTGGATAAACAATTTATACCGATGCAAAATTGGTAATAAGAAGTTTTGAAAGAAGTTAAATTTTTTTAACTTATAATAAATTGACAAGTACTTTTATAGAAAACCATAAAGTTGTTTGAAATAAGAAATCCTACACACCCCCTGATAATTTTGTGTTTTGAAAAACATTCCTCCTTCGAGGAAAGTATCTATAAATAGAGCACCCATGGCACCATCCTTAGGCTTGAAGAAGCAAACAAACACAGCCTCTTCTTCTCTCTTCTCTCCGATGGATACCACCACCACCAAATTCTTATGCAGTTACGGCGGCAAGATCCTCCCTCGTTATCCAGATGGCAAGCTCCGTTACCACGGTGGTCAAACTCGTGTACTGGCCGTTGACCGCTTCATCTCTTTCTCTGGTTAATTACTTTCTCTTCACGTTTTGTATTTGTTTCTAGTCTACGTTTTACATTTGTTCGTGATCTACGTTTTAGTGATTGCAATTTGTAAACCGGACATGGAATATGGATTTAATTGCTTGTGATTTGCAGAATTAATGGTGAAACTTGGTGAATTGTGTGGGAGCTCTGTGATTTTGAGATGTCAACTGCCGACAGAGGACTTAGATGCGCTTGTATCTATCACCTCCGATGAGGATCTCGTCAATCTCATCGAGGAATATGATCGGCAAGCTACTCAACAATCAAAATCTCTCAAAATCAGAGCGTTTTTATGGCTTCCAAAGAGACTCTCTCCAACTTCTTCCACCGCCTCTGCCTCTGGATCTTCTTCCTCAACCAGCACTGTCACACATGAGGCAGGATCACCAAAATCTCCTATTTCATACACCTCCTACTCCGTCACGAGATTTCCTGTTATCGCCACGAATCGCTGCATCCATCATCTATCAAAGCCACCGGTTAAAATTCCAGTTCGCTACAACAAATCTGCCGGAAAGCTTCCGTATCATGCTTACGGGAACTGTAGCCGGAGTTACCTCGTTCACAGTGGCAACCATTGGCAATAACAAATCTAGATCTAGCAGTGACTTCGATTTTCGGATGGGGAATATTAAACATCATCTCCACATATGAAAAAAACGAGCGATCAAGCTATAAGATAAATAAAAATTAATCGAACTTAAACGAATCAGGAGATATATGCAATGTATGATTGGACTGTGAATCATATAAGATGTAGATCGGTGTTTTTACAATCCAGTGACTGACAATGCATTCGTGAGCTAAAAAACCCTAAATTCAGTCCAATTTTCGTTGTTGATGCATCCATGATCCATCCCGAGTATTGGTCTTTCAACGTTCAATTATTTTCACCGGTAAGCTTCCCGATACTCATCACTCCCGCAACCTTTTCTTCTGATCGCCGTTCGTTGTATATCCTCTCCGTTTTGTCATTTTTCTCGTGGTGCTCAGATTTTGTATGATTGTGTGCCATGTTAATCGTTATCCTCCGTTTTCTCTGCCGTCACTTCCTTTCTTCCATGATTCCATCGTCACTGTTTTTGTCCGATTCGTTTACTTCATTTACTCTTTAATTACCTAAAATTACTTCACGATTAAGGATTGATTTTTTGGATTCTGGTTCCATAAACTTATTGTTTTATGTTGCAGGTTGAAGTTGGACGTCTTCGATGGTGGTGATATGGAATAATGGCAAAGGATGGGGAGCCATAGGTTAGAGATAGGAGTGGCGAAGGTGATAGAATGATCCTAATTAATGGGGACATCTTTGTACCATTCAAAGATGGATGATGACAGTGATGACGAGATGGGACGAGGAAGACAATTGAGTTTGAAGATAACATTTCTTAAAAGATCAAAATTTATGGACCGTTCATGCATCTAAAAGAAAAAGTTTCGCACATGACAAAGTAAAAAAAAATTCATGACAGTAACAAATAAATACAAAGAATGTTTTTTTTTTAAATAAAATTATAAAAAAACTCGATAGATTTTAGTTTTTGGAATGATAAGTCTTTGGACAATATTTTTAGAATAAATAAGTACTTAAACATTTCAAAACTTGTTAAATAACTTTTTGGATTTTCTAACACTTGTTGGATACATCTTTATGACTTATAAAACTGGTTAATGTGGTAAAATAATTGAAAATGTCTGGAAAAAAAACAATAGACTTTCATATTTTAAACGATTAAGTCCGTAAGTATTTTTTGAATCAAAAAAGTACTTACATCTATAAAATGAAACAAATATACCAAAAAAAATTTACATTTATGAAAAGATGCTTGTATTTAAAAAAAAATTGTTGATGAAATTTATTTTAATTAAAAATAAAAATATTATATTATATAATATTTGACGAAAATTCTTAAAAATCATTTTTATGTATAAAGTATTGTTTATTGATGTATATTATTTAAAATTCAAGATCACAAGTAAATTGTGGATAAATACAGCTTATTAAAGTTTCATTTTGAATTTATGTAACTAGCTATCGATAAACATAATCAAATACGAGATATAAATCTCATTTTAAATATAAAAAATCTAAAATATAATTAGGATAATCATTAGTTTTAATAAAATACTTAATTATTATCTTTATAAAAAACTAGAAGGGTACTCGCGTAATACAACGAAATACATCTTGATTTTAATGTTTTGTTTTATTATCTGTCTCCATCAATGTTATAATACAGTTTCATGTGGTTTTGAGAAAACGATAATGTTTTTATTTTTGAATAAAATATACATTTTAAGATATCATAAAATTTTGAAAAAAAACATATTGAAATTAGTATCAAATTAACTATTTAAAAATTCTCGTTCTTTTGTGTAATTTCTTTTAATTATAATTTAATTTAAGGTTAATAACGAAGTAATTTTTTTATTGTTAAGTATATTTTATAAAGATAATAATTAAGTATTATGTTAGACTCAATAATTATCTTTGTTATATTTTAGATTTTTTATATTTAAAATGAAATGTTTATTCTTTATTTGATTATGTTTATCTGCAGTTAGTTACGAGAATTCAAACATAAAACTTTAATAAGTTGTATTTACGTATAATTTACTTGTAATCTTGAAATTTAAGTAATATGCATYAATAAACAGTACTTTGTGCATAAAAAATTGTTTTTAAAAGTTTTTGTCAAATGCTTTATAATATAGTGTAGATATATTATTAAACAGTAAATAAATTACTTCGTTATTAAATTGAAATTAAATTATAAATAAAATATTAAAATAAAGAAATTTCAT